ATAAATATACATATGTACATAATATGACATGTAGCTACTACATTGAATATGACTATTACAGTATTTATACTCATACAACTCACTACACAACAATATAGTAGCGACATCTGGAAAAGATAGCAATCACTTTGATTCTTTTACCCAACCTAATGGACATTTTAAACGTACAAAACTAATTCTGTTAGCCGGACGATAATTATTAGATGAGTGTAATCGTGCAACACTGTGATTCGCAAAAATAACGATATATTAAGTTCCTAACTTTTTATATAAACATATATAAATATACAATATTTTTTTACACTCTTTTTACGACGAAATTTTTGGTGAACGGAGTTTTCCAATTGTATAAACATAACCTTCATGCGAGTGATGCTCGTTTTACGTGGTTTTCAAAATACGAATTTACTTGTCTTACTCGGTGGTCTTTTATTGTGCCTTGTCTTTATGATACAAGTGAAACAAATTTACAATAACAATCAAAAGTATAACAGATACTTGGGATACAAAGAATACGTAAGGCACCATTCAGCAAGCAAACGTAGTTTTCTCTCCGTATTTTGATAATGAAATATTAATTGATCCACGTGTACTTCAGATGAATGATATCTCTACAGAATTGAAAGCAGTTGAAAAGTCTGCAAATAAATCCTCGACTTACATTCATCAACTAAACGAGATTATTTCAAAACATCGGGAAAGAGATATGAAAAACATTTCTATACCGCGTATTGTTCTTCCACTCTAAAGTGTTTTGGTAAGTACACTTAAGGCAAAATGATCAAATTTTATGTCATATCCATAGTTTCCAATCTCTTAACTGTTTTATATGAAAATTGTTTAAACAAACAAGGAACGTAGCTCAGAATTAGACTATCTGTGGTTGTTCTTATGAAGTTTACATTTAAATTTTTAAGTGAAACCCTGTATTTTTTATTGTACACTCTTACAACTAATATTTAGATGCTGTCAAAACGCTAGTGATGAATAAAACAGTATTAATGTGGCTTAAGTCAGTTGTTTTCACCTAGGAAGCTATAAAAGTTGGTAACGTTCAGTGAATAATGTGTAGTAGACAACAATTATCATCATTAAAACAGACATACTATATTATATTTTGACAATAAATTATTAACTTTTATAATCTAGCATATTATTTGTGAGTATTATAAAATACCAACATGTATAATCATCTGGTATAATCATACCAGTATGCTATTGTTTCCATAATCAATTGTTTTTGCTTAGAAAGCTATAAGAGT